ACTGATTTAATGAAAAGGTGGAGGGCGATAAAAGAGAGATATATGGCAGCAAAGAAACTTTTCAAAAGTACAGGTGAAGGTCTTGAAGCAGGTGATGAAATGGACACCCTCAAAAAAAAGGCAGAAAAAATATGTCCTTGCTATGAACTTCTAGACAAACTCTATGGACACAAAGCCAACGTCAACCCACACGCCCTTTTGGATAGCATGAATCGAGTCGAAGGCAATATCGAGACGGATTCAGAAAACGATTCAGATGAAGATTTGGTTGTTATTGAAGGTACACAAGCAGCTAATCAGGTTGAAGATGACGTGATTGATCCTATTCTCAACTCACTTGCTGGTGATGATGTCGATTGGTCGGCCTTGATTTCTGACGCCAACAAACAAATCAATATTGAAATCGATTCAAATGAATACTTGCAAGATCTCAGTGACAACGGGTTAGCTGAGAGTCTAGTCAATCCAATCCTAGACGATACTGAAAACTCCCCCGAGTTTCCACCACTCCCTTCTCCAATTACTCTACCCAAAATTGACAATACCCCAATTGAACCCAATCAAACCTCTTCGACAAACAAAAAACGCAAGCCTTCAAATGCAGCCACTGACGATCAACCTGCCAAACCTTTGGCATCAATTGATGAATCTAATCAAAAACGCCGCAAAGGACCAGCAAGCTTTCTTATGGACGACCGCGACGATAAGAAGTATGCGTTCCTAGATTCAAAGTTTCAAGCCAAGAATGAGAATGATTTGAAAAAACTCGACTCTGAAAATCAACGAGCTAAAGAATCACTGACCTGGGACAAGACCAAGTATGAGCGTGACGATGAGAATATGAAACGTCGTGAAGAGAGAAGTATGGACACTGAATCAAAACGGACACTTATCGAAGAGAGACGAGTGCAGGTAGAAGCTGATAAGAATGAGAGAGAAATACTCTGGGCTCGTGAGAAGTTCAATTTAGAAACCTCTCAAGCAGCTGCAAGCAAACAGGCAGAAGCGAGTACTTTAGCATTGAGAACTCGTTTAGATGTTATGGAGACCTGTCGAAGGGATGGCATGTCTGTAGATGAAATCTCAGCGTACTTGAAGATAGTTTTTAATGAATGAAAATTCCTTTCTATTCAAATTGTCAAGTGTCTTATTAACCAAAATGTCAAATATCTTATTAACCAAAATTCCAAGTATCTTATTAACCAAAATGTCGAGTACTTTGTTTTGATCAGCTTATGTGTAATTTCAACTCTGTTCTGTTACATGAAAGGAACCCAGAATTTTCCCGTTTTTCAAGGTTTCTTGATTTCTTTCTTACAACCAAAAAAAAGGAAAAATTTGTAAAAAACAATTAAATCATGTATTTAAAGCAAAGAAGAACCTATGCGTCTTCTTGAGCAAAATCTAAAGCAAAGTCTTGCACTAGCTCTCTGCGTAGACGACCGACCTCATTATCCCCAATTTCATTTATTGCCAAAATCAAGTTATCCACGCCTTGATACATGTCATTTGCATAGTCATCAGCATATTCATCGTCCCATTGATCTCCCAGGGCAGCGAGTAGGTTGTGTAGGATAAAAGAGGCATGTATCCATCGAAGGATTGACTTCATGTGCTTGGGCTTGTCAAGTCGAAGCCGTAAGCATTGAAGTGAGGCCCAACGGCACTTCGAGATCCCGATGGTATGTTCGTTACGTATACGAGCTTGGGCAACAAGTGTGTTGAAGGCTTTGTTTTCCACGAGATTGGCTGCTTGACCTTTAAATGTAGAAACCACGGTGTTGCTGATTTTGTAGGCAGAATTGCCTAATATGTATTCACCTATGATCAACAATGAGTCAAAGGTTTGTCAATGAGACTTGTTCAAAATTGAACACATAGGTTGAACTCACCTTCTGAAAACCAACGTTCTGGTTCAGTACAAAGTGTCATCATTGAAAAGCACTTGTAATCGTGACAGGATCCAGGCCATCCAGTGTAGAAAGCTGTGATACGGCGATCACAGTCACAGACGACTTGACAATTGATCGAGTAACGTTTTTTTCGATCGAAAAAGGTCTCGCCATCAAGACCTGGCCGTTGGTAGAGAGGGATGTTGGTTCCATCAACAAAACCCACACATCCTGGAAAGCCCTCTAATGCCATCACCGCGGAGATTTCTTCTTGTCTTTCCGGTCCAGGCCACTGTATATAGTGACTACTTGTGCTGATGATGGCGTGAATTACTCGTCGGGTACATTTGATAATAGCGCCCATCGATCTCTTGTAGTCTCTTCCCATCCGACGCACCGCACAACCATTTCCGTTACTGCCGAGGCGTTCAAGGGCAAGGGCTAGTTGAATGACCACTGGAGGCTGTGGGTTATTACTGTTGGATATGAAGATGGGATGAGCAGAGATCCGATCGAGAACGGCGTAGAAGCCAGCATGTGAGGTTCGCATGCACTGTTGAAACTCGACCTCTCGATCTCGGAGAAGGTCATTGAGACTGAACTCCATCTCGTAAGGCATCTTCCATCGACCATCGTGGTACCGTAAGCCTTCTAAGATTACTAACAACTCTCGAGCCTCGCCAGCTTCGTTGAACAAGATGTCAATAAGGTCACCGGTGTCTGGATCGTCTTCAAAAAGTATGTCGCCGACCGAAGGAAATATCTTTTCGCCCAAGACCTGCTCTGCTAACCAATTGTCATCTTCATCAATATCCATCATTTCACAAAAGTTTTCAACCTCAGCCAGTGTCTTTTTCCGTTGAGATGTGCGGACCATCTTATTTGATGTGTTGAAGATATGATTGATGAAATAAATTGAGATGGATTGTGATTGATTGATGTGGTAAAGAAGGAAACCAAAGGTTTGAAGTCAAATTGGCTTGACCCATCACAGATGATCTGGTGCAGCGCTGTCCGGATAGTGAAACGGACAAGTTTGCTCCTTTTACGCTCATATATTTTACAGCATCTTTTATGAGATCGGACAAATTTTTAAAAATCCATTGTTATAAAAAATTTGTCCGTTTTTTTACGATTTTCACAAAAATAATTTGAGTTGAAACCCCCTAATATGAAATGGAACATTTTGGGTTGATTGAGCTATTACTCATCTTGATCAGAGAAGGTTTGACATATGTAATTAGCTGAAAACCTTCACTTTAAGTTTTGACAATTGTCACACCTTTTCACTTCTTTTGACATCTGATATTGATTTCTTCTACATCATGAAGATCACAGTTGATCAATCCATTCATAAGAATAACCTTACAAATCACTTTAAAAGCTCTTGGCACCATTAAGTTCCTCAATCACATCAGTACATATGTATCAATCCCGTAGTATCCTTGTTTACCATCCTCAAATTTCTCTCTTTCTTGAATAACTTCACTCCTCTCTTATCAATCCTCATGATTAAAGTTTTTGATGACTAATATGATCATGCTCTTTCATAACACAACCTTCCTGAGCATTTAGACCAAGTACCAATACCCTGAAAACCATTTACAACTTGATACACCTACATTTAGGGGATACAAAGTAAACTGGGATTTTTTTCCCAGTTTCCCAGTTTTTGTTTTTGGCTGTGTTTGGAACTTTCCCACGTTCTCCCAGTTTCCCAGTTTGTGTTTTTGGTGGTATTTAGGAAACTGGGAAACTGGGAAAAAACTCCCAGTTTTAACTTTGTATCCCCTAATATTTGGCTTTTTTACAGATTTTCTTATCTTCCTTCTTTCTGAGTATGATCTTACAAATCAAATTGAATAAATTTAATGTAAATAAATGATGATTAAGTAAGAAAGATTTATATTCAAACTGAAATACTATAATCAAAAATATGAGAGACACAGATTTTACACTAAAACTACCAAATTAACTGCTGATGCAATAATTTTTCAATTGCTCTTGATCAACCCTATAAATCGATTGCCACAGAGGGATTTTGCATTTTAAGCAGATGACAAAGGGGGTTTAAAGATATTTCTGAACATCTTATTCAGAGTATAACCTTCCATAACCAAGGATCCAAACTTCCATGGAAGGCTGAAGAATTTTTGAAAAATCTATTTCATTTAGGGGATACAAAGTAGTAGAATCCGGGCACGTGCCCGGAATTATTTTGGCAGTAAATTTTGATTTTCTGGACAAAAGCCGCGGCCCAGAATTCAAATCTACTGCCAAAAAAAATCTGGGCAGAAAGCCGGGCACGTGCCGGGATTCTACTTTGTATCCCGTAATTGTCCCGTATTCCAAGGATGATGTGAAGTGAAGACACATGATTACAGTTCCACCATCCTTGACGTATGATGTGACTTTCTTCATCACCATAGCATACTCCCCTTAGGCTTAAGCAGTGAACCCAGGCCTGCAAGGGATTTGGCTATTGTCTTGGCTTCTTGCACCATGTATAGGCAACATCTGATGATGGAATTCTTGATGAAGTTCATGATGAATGGAGTACCCATTGGCTGTAAGAATCATCAAAATGCCTGACATGGCTGAACTCTGGTGATGGGATGATTGTTCGATCAATTCAAGCTGGATAGTTCAGATATGGAGTGTTGAGGACCCCACCGGAATTGACGCTTCTCAGATAGTCTCAGATTCAAGCAGGGACTTAAATTGGATATAGTTGTCTACTTATTTGGCATATCTGATCACAGTGGCCATACCCTTTTACGGTCCTTCTCTCATCTTTTGTTCTTATACTCCAAGAACTAGGTAGGTGGATATCATTCGTCGGAAATACCACCTTACTACAGATTGGGTGTGCCTCGAGACTCTGGTACATATCATGAATAATTTGATTCATCCTGTGTAAGATATCCCAGACTACTGCTTTGCTATTCAATGCCGGCATCCAAGTCAAACGCACAACTTGAGACAGCATTCATCCCTTTGTCCATCTTGTTTTCAAGGATCTGGTTGCAAACTTGTTCTCTCTCACCAAGGCTATAAGTTGATACGAGGTATCAAAGAACTTGCATTTAACAACCTGCTTAGGTCTCAGAGGCAAATGCACAAGGTGTGACTGATAATTTAAATGTTGATTACGAGTCCATGTGTGATAAGATATTCAGAGATAAAAGGATAACATTCATGCATAAAGTTACAAAAATGAAAAGGATGTGCCTGAGCCATGATAGAAAACTTCGAGACATCCAACAACTGGACGAAACTTCAATTTGTTGATTTATGAGCCTGCACGTACCACATCAAAAACGATACAGAAAGCGGATTAAAAGGTCTGATTAATGATCACGGTAGTCTCAAAAGATAATCGGGACGAAAATCAATGGGAAGTGCTCTGTTCGCACGATCAGTGTAGATAAGAAATGCAAAGCGTTGTCAGCTAGAGAAAGTGTTTAACGACGGTGGAGACAAATCAGCTCACAGCCACATTATGGTTGGCACCTGGAAGGTCAGGCTTTTCCTTCAAGTCAGCCAACGCAGCTTCGTGGGTTCCAGTTCCTTTGTAGACCGGTAAAACTTCGGCGTTGGAGTGCTCGGCCTCCTCATCGTGAGCATGATCAGAGTGTGGATTTGCCGTATGGAGCCCAGCCGGGGTGGTGGGCGCAGTCGAGAGTTCGTCAGGGCTGAGAGGAGTTTCTTCCTCTTCTGAAGAACCACCAGCTTCTTCATCTGCAGCATCCTCTGCTTCCCTGTGGGTCACTGTAGCCGGTTCATGATGATCTGCATTCGATGCGTCAGTTACCAAGCCAACTCCATTAACAGCTGCAACAGCCGCACCTTCCGGCAAGCTCGATTTCACAGTAGCAGCTGTGACTTAGAAAAATGTGCAAATGATTAGTACAAATTATGTCAGGAAGACGTTCACAGACGGCAAGCCGATAAAAGTTGTTCAAAGATAGCTTACACGATGCCTTTGCCGGGTGCTGCATTAAAGTCCACCAGTCCATCATTTCAGCGTGAGTGCGAGCCTTGAAACTGAAAGCAATGTCCTTCTTGCCGATTCGTAAAGTGTTTTTGACTTTGTTCAAACTGCCAGTGTGATGGCCACTGCTACTGTTCTTCTTACCCTCAACGTGCCATTTGAAGGACTTGGCCCCTTCAGCTGAGGTAGCACCAAGAACACAGTTTGGTAGAAAGATCGACATTTCCGGTTCGCTGTGCTTGGTAGGATCGGAAGATTTGTGTTCATGAAGATACCCAGACGGTGTAAGGACGTAGAATCCTTCCTTATAGTTCTTGGTGACTGTGACAAAGGACAAGTCTTGTCAACACACATGAAGACTCGATCGGTAGCCAAAGCTATTAGTATATCCCTAACTCACATCGCTTCTTTCGCTCAAGAAGGCCAGACTTCACAGGTTTAGTCGTTTCGTCGTCTTGACCGGGGAAGGTGATTTTCTCGGGATCGCGCATGGCAATATCCTCCGGAATTAAATGTCCACTACGTTTGGCGAATTCGTTCCACTCAATATCTGGGTCAAGTTCGGTGATTCCACTGTGGATCAACTTCCACTCTTTAGCAATGGCCTCTTGCGAGATAACTTGAGCAGTGTGGAACTCGTTGGTTGCAGTCTGAATGTCTTTGTTGATTCTACTCTCGAGCTCAGCCGCTTTCTTTTGATAGACTGCAAAGGAGAGATGTCAGTGAAAATGCAACCAAAACGTGACATCGACGAAAAAAGAGAGTTAAAATACTGACTAATGATTGAGCGAGTGAGTGAATTTTCTTCAGCAAGCTGAGCCTTGAGCTGGGTTTCGACTTGACGATGCGTCAACACGGGATCATCCTTGGAAGTCAAAGCGTGCGGGTTGCTTTTAGCGTTGGCGATGCCAAGAGCAAGCTGAGAAATCAACTTCGTGGATTCGGCTCGGTGTTTGCCGACCTCAGTGGCGATTCTGCTTGGTTCAGCTTCTAGCTCGGCAATAAACTGTAGGGGAAAAGTAGAAGCAGGACACGTTTAGTAAGGTGGAACCAAATAACTTGATCGAGACTAAAATACGTACGTTCTTGATGTCAGTTTTGGTTCTCAATAGTGCGTGAACGACAGTCGAGGAGATGGCATGAGAGAAAGTGCTGTGGTGTTCAGCAATGGCTCGAGTGCGTTCTCGAGTACCGTAAAGGATGGTTTGCCAGCCGCCCTCGGGGAGAAATTGATTGCCTTCTCTTAGAGGGACCGGCAAATGACCACCGATTCGCTGGAGCTCTGTGGCCGTGCTGTGGACAAAGTTAGACTTATCAGAGTCATTCCATCGTACAATGTAGAGAATATTCTTACTGAGTCTCGAGCTTCGATATGTCCTCATAGTAAGCGGTAAGGCCCTTGGTGATACTTTTGTATTCGACTAACGGTCAGCAAGGATTTGTAGAGAGACATGTCAATTGAAGTCGATGAAAAATAAAAGAAGGTGGTCAACAAGAGTGTGATTCAAAACTGACGGAAACGGTCGATGAGAATGTCAGTCTCATGATGTTGAGGCTGATCAGCATGTTCAGCAGAGCCAGAACCTATGGAATGGAAGAAGGTCAATTAGCTCAAGGAAGAATGGGGATCGACGGAACAGCCAATAACGCCACACGATCATAGTATGCGCCGCGGTAAAAAGGTCCTGCCCAAACTGACCTTTTTTGATTGTGGCCGGAGGTTTCTTCAGAATACCACTCATGATCAGATTCTTAGATTAAGTTGAGCAAAAGTTTGATTGAGCTAGAAGAGACTATCGAGTGATTGGAGAAAGTTAGAAGGTTCGATTGATGTGATCGATCAAGGATGGATGGATGGATGGAGAATCAAATTAGATTTTGATTTGTAGATTGAGGAGGTAAAGAGGGCAATCGATTTAAGATTGATTTGAATGCTGGGAATGGGATTGATAAAGGTTTGGAAACTTGAAATGGCAAGTCGATTAAAAAGAAGCAGGACAAGATCAAATGGTGAACAATGAAATCAATCAATCGAAAATAGTATGTAAATTCACACTTTAAGGTAAAATTACAAAAAGGCTGACCGAATTTGGAAATGGAAAGAAATGGAAACACGGTACAGAATTCTGGTTGGTCTGACTGACAATTTCAACATCGACTGACATCCTTCAAAAGAAGGATCATGACCAAGTCTTTGACTCTATCCATCGATCATTGTCATTCTTTAATTTACAGCTCTGAATCTCTTGCCATTCAACTTCCTATTTGGGCTGTCAAAAGCATTGCCCGACCGATGCATGGTTTCCTCGGGCGAATAAGGGTGATACTTGAGGATACTCTTGACCCTGCTTTAAGATGTCTTTAGTAATATCCGAGCTATAAAGTGTGTCATGTGAGCTTTCCAAGTCAACTGCCATCATCCAGATCATTCATAATTCGATCACACCAAAATGACGTCATCAGATCTCCTGTTGACCCCGTTTGATGTACTCAATTTCAAAAAAGTTGTCCAATTCTGAACAGGTTTTCCCGCATACCTCCAGTCGATTGGTGCTGAAACTTTGATCTGGAAACTTTGGCAAGCTTTGTGCAATCGACACTGGACAGTACATAATTTACAATCTGATAAGTTGAAATTGTTCACCAGAGCCTAGAGGACGCGGACGAGGCCGCGTGAGGGGAAGGGGATTAGTCAAGCTCAATGCGTTGCTTGAGAGTCCGATTGTATTTAATAGTCCGAAGTTGTCGAGTCTGGGGTCTTCCCACCACCTTTTTTCGATAAATTGATCCTTCCCTACCTGGGACATGCATTTGATTGAGGTCGGCAAAGTCCCCAAAATCTTGAGGTCTGATCTGAGCTTTCTACTGTTACATAGATCCCCAGGCTTCTTGTTCAAGTAGGCAAGCGTTAATGAGATTGAAAGAGCATTGCACCTACATTTTGTTTTCCTTTGTGGATTTCTTAGAGTCTCGAAACAGCTAATTTCTCTTCACATCTTATGTCGATTGTGCACTTCAACGCCTTTTTTCTCGCCTCTATTATATATGCACGATCATTTAATGCTGAGTTGAACCATTTTATTCCAATATTGGTTGGTGATTGAGAGAAATGTATGTAGTCAGAACCCTTGGTGAAGACAAAGTCTCCATAATAACATATCAAACCACGAGCCACGTATCCATGAGATCACCAGCAGCTTCTATAGTGTGTGGAGGCAAATCGTTGTCAATTTGAAACCAAGGCCCGAAACAATGGCTAGACCACAAAACTTGTCGTATTCACCAGCCGATCAAAGTTCTGGAATGCTCTCACCGAGAGGATTCCATGCATATCTTTTTTGTTGTTTTTTTCAAAACAACAAAGCCATACCAAGCCATCAAATTTTTCAAGTTTTTTTTGGAGTTTTGGAATGCTCTCATCGAGAGCAATCTCTGCATATCTTTTTAGAGAAAAACAATCATTTGTTGTTCTTTTCTTTTTTTCTACCAATTGTATCTTATCTACATAAATTTTGGTCATGGCAAGTTGAGGAGAAGCACAACGTGTAGCCCAAGGGCTCGTGGATGTGCAACAGTGAACCGGGCTCGAGTTGAATGAGCAATGAACGTAGAGCATCCACAGTGGTGGGCTCCAAATCGGGGCTCCAAATCGAGCGAATTCAAATTTCAATCGTTGCGTGACTAATAGCCACCTTTTGGTGGGTGTTTTTTCACTTCGCTTTTACACCACGACCCACAAATGCATTTTCTTCAAATGCGTGGGCTTACATGTGTGAGGTATGCGATTGAACAAGTGCGGGAATTTGGAGCCCGGCTTTTTGTTGCCAAATATGTAGCCCAAAGCTCGAAATTTGAAGCCGGCTACAAAAAAATTTGGCGATGGGGACTGCCATTGCACCAAAAAATCGGGGCTCAGTCACCAAATTTGGCGATAGCCCCGATTTGGAGCCCACCACTGTGGATGCTCGTAGGATGAAAACTTCAGAATCCAACCTGATTGAAGGTTCTGAAATTTGAGCTGACGGGGCCAAAAGGGCAATTTATCGAGTATTTACTCGATTTCGAATTGCCATCAATGCCAAGCTCTTGCCTCCACGCACTATACGCACTCGTTGAATGACAGCTGTCGAAGGCATCGACTCTCGAGTGACTTGGTCAAGTTGGATGATATGTGGTGTTTATGTGGGACACATAGAAAAGTACAAAGTTTTGATTAGGCGGGTCTTCGGCCCGTCATATGGGGAGATTCTTTGGATGATCACTGTGAATCGTGATGCATATATCTTCCATCTCATGTGCGATACAAATTCGACAATTTACATAAAGCGACAGAACTCAGGTCGCACTTAAGTCTGGTGCTGAGCACTCCTTGTCTGCATTCCACCTTCAGAGTTTCATTCAAACAAAGGAGATTATTACACCAGCAAAGTTTGACACAGTCATTGTAAGTTTATCCTTTGGATGCTTGGCACTGCAGCCACATGCGATTATCACGACATCCTTGTGAGTGATCCGGGTGCTAGATTCGGAGTACTGCCTGCACATAGCTATCGAAGAGATCTTCAGGAGGATGTGTATAATGTACAGTCTCCAGCATGTTAGCTACAAGATTGTGCGCGGAGAGCCATATATCTACTTATCGTTAATGGGTGGATGAAGATCGATGATAAGTTTATGTGTATACAAGGGTTTAGGAGTTGAAGGAGTTTGTTTTGCTCGGCATCATCCGGTTTGCTAGTCGACAAAGTGAATTTATTCTGCGTCTTCGTCCATTCGATCTTCTCGAAATCGTGGTCCCTGTGTTCAAGAGGTGACAGAATATATCAAGTGTCGAATCAAAAGGATGGAATCAATTAAAAAATCTTTTTAGTCTGCCTTGGCTGTTGAATATCTCAAAACTTACTCTTTCTCCCATTCCATCCGGAACATCTCGGTTTCCACCAACATCATGATCATCACGATAAACAGCATCTTGTTGAAGTTGTCTTTCTCTCTCTTCTTGCCGTTGTTTCAGATGCCCCCATCCACCACGCCCTACATCATAATCTTCTCGATATTCGTCTCTGACCTGTAGTACGTAGAAACATAGATGAAGTAAGAATCTAAATTGACTGACGTGATGTCAAAGATTGTTTTTTACCTGACCACCACTTTTGCCTCTACCATACTGTCTTCCGTCTTTGTAGCCTGGATCAAGGTCAGCTCGGATTATCCTTTCATCGAGCTTAGTGCCAGAGATGTAACGTAAGCAGCCAAGTGCCTCAATCGGTTCATAATATCTAGTAGAACCAAGGGCAGAAAAATTGATTAGTTGAATGAAAAGATAAAAATCAACCAAAGTTTTTCTTGAACGTTTTTGTTCGGCGCTGCTGACTCAACAAAACAAAATCCGCAAGGTGTTTTTGAATTTCGATCTAAACCCATGATGATTCGTTTGATCGGAGCAATCTTAGAGAAAAGTTCAAAGATTTGCTCTTCAGTTGTAAAGAAGGATAGATTTCCAACATAGACCGTTGATGATTTGGATAATTCGGATTGTTGCTCGGTATATGATAATGACGAACGAGAGTCACGATAAGACGAGTAGGAGTCTAAGTTTTGGCAAACCTGATGATCGTAAAGAAAAGATTCGGGCGCGCAAATCATCAAATATATGTTTTTAGTCAATTTTTTGTTCTACTTGATGAGCCCAGCTCGAGTTGGACAAACGAAGGGTGTCTCACGTGAGCCATTGAAAATCGATCTGGATTGTGATACTTGGGTTCGCCGTTATGTTACCCAGTTGGCACCGATATGAGAGTAATTTCTTCGCGCGGAGAGGTGACGGCTCCAAGATATGCCGCGCGTAGAGTGGCCTTGACCCAACGAGAGAACGAGCAATTCGCCAAACTACCCAAGTTCCAACCCTGGCGGCGTGTGTTGTAGATAGTATCACATCTTTGTGACATCTACTAGGTGATAGATGTCACAAGCTTTGTGCGACGGCACCATCAACATATTTACCTCGGATTTTGTAATCCGAGGTATCCTCGGATGCAAAACCTCGGACAGAAGCTTCCCGAGGTTTTGATCCGAGGTAATTCTCAGGGCAAAAAAATACCTCGGGCAAATACCTCGGACAAGGTTTGTCCGAGGATTTGCCTCCGATGATGCCTCGGATTTCTCAACCCAAGGCATCTATGTTGGCAGTGCGGCCAGAACATGAGGAATTTTGCCTACATTTTGCCATTTCCCCACCATGGTAAATGTGACATATGGCCCTGGTCACGCCAGAGACAACACCCTTTCTAACCATCGAAAGAAAGAACAATCATCTCGGAAGGGAATTTGATCCTGAGAACACATATGATCATATCCACCATATCAGATCTCAATGACCTGTTGGATCCCCTTCTTGTACGACAATATCGGCCTTTCTCTCGAATCTCGAATCCTTGATCACAAAACTTATTTGAAGTCAGCTGTAAACCCATGAGCTGTCCCAGCAAGCGCTTCAAGACCATTTCAATGGTACTTCAGAGGACATCATTTGTGCTGATGGAATCACAAATGTTTGGTAGTTCAAAAGGAGACATTTGGGTTGAGATACTAATTGGCAGAAATAAGGATAGATTGGATGTAACAGGTATGGTTGTTTGTCTGACAGGAGATACATGGAAAGACTTAAATCACATGATTTTGGATCATAAAATAATAAGGGAGTATATAGATCTGGTGGATACAAACATCTGAACAGATGGTCAAGTAGTTAAAAAACTGGGCGCCTCTTTTCTTCAGACATTTTCTTGAAAACCAAGGCCTGAATTCTAGCTCTTTGAAAAATCATTCTTTCATACAAATCTTCAGCTCTGTGCTTGAAGAAAGCAAACATGATGTCAAATACTATATTGTTCCTGTTAAACATGTATCCAGTGGTTAGTGTTATAGTTTTATACAGCTTTACATATTGATTAACACTTTCTTTCCCATTAATCTCTTGGTATGTTTTGGGATTACTTGCTCTATGAAAGCCTCTCAAATGAAGTAAAGCAGTGAGATACTCAAATGATTGTGTTTGAAGGGCCCTGCATGTATGTTCTGGAATCTTCAGATCTTCAGCTGTCAAACCCACAGCTCTCCAAAGATCAAGATATAAATGTAAAACTTTCTTGGAGGTGAATGAACCTTCTGGACCAAATAGATTGAGTGAAGACTTCATATTCCCATTCATTAACTTTTGAATTTCCAAATCTTTTTCAGCTTTAAGCCACCAAGTTGATCCTTCCTCGTTTTTATTTAGGGACAACCTCTTGTCATGACAAAAGGGGAAATTTCTAGGTGGATCCTGAATCTCAATTGCCTTGTGATATTCATGCAGGTGCATATCTGTGAAGGGTATCAACGTATCAGAGAATTCCAAGGCATTTTGAAGCATCATGGAAATAGGAGCATACTTGGTTCAGATTTTACACCTCTCTCATCAATCTGAGTATGTTCAGGTGAATAGGGCTGTGGTGGAATAAAAGATTTGTGTTGATCATGATTTCCGAGTCTAAATATGCTACTTTTACTGATGCTTGATCTATCCTCAAATTCACCATGTTCTGGTGCCATTTGGAAGACCGGTGTTTGATCTTTGGGATATGTTTGTTCATCTTGCATGGTAGAGGAGCTGATTGGGATGTGAGAAGGAAACCTTATCTCAATTTTTTCCCTGCAATCAAATTGATTGGTGTTACTTGAGGGCAGCTTGTCCTTGTTCAAAATCTCTGATTGTAACTTTTTTTGGTACAAATGATTATTTTGGAGAAGATTGTTAGAGCTACAGGATGAGGCTTCATTGTCTGAGCTGTCAGATGGCATAGCCATATTCCAGATGGATGATGGGGTTGGAGTTCTTGAGCTGGCTGATTTAGATGAATAGGTAAGACTAGAAATGTGATGTGGCATTCTGATGAAGTTATCTTGGCTCTCCTCAATTGACTTGTGAGACAAAGAATTGGGTGGTGGATATTGATTTTGATTTACTCCTAAGGCACAGTGTTCCAAAGGCAAGAGTTGATTAAAACTCTCTGTAAGATCAGAGTTCTGGTTGGAGAGACAGCTGCTCTGAATCTCTCCAGAACTACTATAGATCAATTTGCTTCTGGATTTGTCTTGTTGCCCCTCCAATTGAATGTCATGAATACCATTCAGCTCAATTCCTTCTGATTTATTTACAATATAATGATCACTTTGTCTGAGACTCTTCTCCGACCTATGAGGATGGATCTGCAATGGAGTAGATTCCTGTTTGTAGCCAAGAAGAAGTGAGGGTTCTGGTGGAACCAGTCTGTTTTCAACAATTGATTTCTGATGCAGTGGAAGTTTATGTTGTTCTGATGCATAAGTTTGACTGAAACCAGGATATATGTGGTTGTGCAGCTGAATAAAAAGAAAGATAAGAGTTAGAGAAAAATCCTCCAGGAGCTATGGTCCCTTTCCTATAATGAGAGGAATTAACAGAGTAAAATCAAGTTACCTTGTACTGGGGGTATTCCTTTGGATCTGGATCTGGGTTGATCCAATGCGGTCTGTGGTTACAATTGTAAGAATCCCCCAAAACACCAAAATCCTTGACATTCCCCTCATACAGAGACCCCCCTAAGCTCCAATCATCCCTGAAGAATTCTAACTCTGCCTGGAGTGCTTCCTCATCCAGAACAGAAGTATAATTTGGAATTGAACCCACAACTCTAGGATCACCTTGGAGATCAGATGGAGGGCCTGTAAATGTGTCCCAAAAGGTTGCATCTCATTCAATATTGCAAACTAAAGCAAAAGGAAACTGTCTCTGTCACAAACAATGTGGTTCAATCAATCCCAAATTTACTTCCAGGGTTTCCGCATTCCATGGAGATACTTCTGCAAATTTTCCAAAATCTCCATGAGGAGAGATCTCTCCACTTGTCCTTACTGAGTTACTTGATTGACCTGTTGATGTATTCAAATAAACAATAGCATTTAGTATTTCCCTTTCAATTGCCACCAAATTCAAATTTGGAAAATGTTGCTATCCTCACCCCAACTTGCTTGAAGATGTCTGGTTTCTTTGAAGGTTTGGAACATAAATATGTATTTTACATGCAAGAAAAAATCACAGACTTAGCATATGTCAAATTATTGTGTCACATCAAACTGTCTTTACAAACCATTTTCATGAAAAGATCTGCCTGAGAGATCATTGTCCAGTGAGGTTTGATCAAGCTTTCTCTTAAACTTATTGCCTGCTTGAACATGGTGTTGAAAACTATTGCTTGATCCTACATAAATCAAATCATTGGGTTCTGGAGGAAGCCCACCAGATGCAGGAAGAATTTGCAAGTTGTATGCTGTATGGTGGAATTATTTTTTTGAGTCACTTTCAAAAGTATCTCATGATTCAAAACACATCCACTCACCATTATCTGTTGAAGTCATTGCACATTGATTTTTATTGAATGATGAAGCTGTCCTGCCATATTTGTGAATTTGATCAACCTTGTCTCCCTGCTCAAAAGATTCTGGTGGTCTATGAATGGCTTGTGTTTGTAGTGTTTGTTCAGAGACACAGGAAGAGAATGGATTGTCTGAGACTAAGTGATGAATAGAGCCACATTTCACTATCTGTTTACTAAGAGGAAAACTTATCAAGATTGAAATCAAGAAATGTGAGCAAAGTTTCATTTTCCTACTAGGACATCAAAAGATGAGGGATAATATTCAGGGACCAAAATTTAAGCTGGGGTGTAAATCACCGACTGATTTTGTTGCTCAATTTGGATTGGAGACATGTGTGAAGTTTAGTATATCCATCTGATGTCAATTTACTTGTAATCCTCCTTGTACAGTGAGCCACTCTGTAACAACAAGGTATGATCAATGAAGTCCTTCATTGGACTGCAGAAGAGTCCAATTATCCCCAATTTTAATCTACAGAGGGCGTATTGTGAATGTACTACTACTTCTTATATTGAAAATATCTTCTTGTACAAAATGGGTATAATTGTTTCAATAATCTTAGTGAAACACAATTATAATGACCGATCACAATAGAGAAAATGATGAAGCTGATCAATGTTTGAAAATTTCAATATAATCATTCCAAAAGATCAAACTTCTTTTGAAACAGTGCATAATTTGAATGTGGTCCTAATCTCTGTGACATTCAATCCTTGCATGCAGATTGGTTTATGTTACAATCAATGATTGAATCTGAGCAGTTTGAAACACTGTAGATGAGAAGATAGAAAGCAATTGGTTTCAAGTGTTCATTCTTACAGCTAGAAGACTTCTGAATTCTATGTACTGGAGACAACTCGGCTTCATTCCAAAACTCAGATAGCTATCAAAGAATATCTTACTTCTCCCAAAATTTCACATTGCAGCACTCTTCACCAGTTTAAGAAATGGAAAGCTCTGATGGTTATTTTTTCATGAAAAGCTGTTTGATAATCCAAATCCTGTGGATCTGATTCCTGATACAAATACAGTGAGGTAGTCAAGAGAGCCTCTTTTCTTCACACATTTTCCTGAACACTGCCATCTGAAGTCTACGTTTTTGAACAGATATTATTCCATGCAATTCATTTGCTCTGTGCTTGAATAAAGCAAACATTAGGTCAAATACTGTACCATTCCTGAGAAATATTTATATTGTGGTCAGTTTGATATTTTTGTAGAGCTTTTATATTTTGTGGGGTTACCAGCGTTATGAAAGTCTTTTTCATATGGGTTATTAGGTGAGAAACTCTAATGAATATATATGAAGTGCATGTGTATGTTCTTGTATCTTGAACTCTTCAGCTGTCAATCCAACAGCTCTGTCAAGATCAGATATAGTTTTGAAACTTTCTTGAAGGAAAAAGACCCCTCTGGACCAAATTGATTGCTCAAAGATTCCATATTCCCTCTCATGACTTTCTGAAAAACCAAGTCTACTTCAGCTTGGCACCACCAAATCAATTTCACATCAGTTTGATTGGGAGGTATCCTCTTTTCAGGTAAAATGGGATAATTTACAAGTGGATTATGAGGCTGGATCACCTTACAATATTCATACAGGTCTCTTCAAGCTACACAAGCATATCAGAAAAAAACAAGTAACTTTGTGTCTTCATGAGAATGGGGGCATATCAGATTTTGAACCCTCAGTGAAATTTGAGCAGGCTCATTGAAAAATTGTTTTTGTAGAGCTGCTTCTTTTGTTTTATGAAGATTTACATGTTTTAAATGTCTACTGTTGATGTGGCTTGCTCTGCACTAAATACTACAATGGTTTGATGCTTCTTGGTGGCCTGATGTTTCCACAGCTGGGCCATGATTTTTTTGCCTATTTCCTATAGTGGAGTAAGGGTTAGGGTTAGGGTTAGGGTTAGGGTTTCCCAGATGTGCCCTGTGATCTGTCATCTTGTTGATGGATCTGGGAAGAAACCAATTCTCAAGACCATTGCTTCAATCAATGGTTAAGGCTCCTTACATTGCTTACGTAGAGGCAGAGCTTACCACAGCAAAGAGCAAGAAAAAAAACTGAGAAGAATTGCTGTACAAGTCTATTTGGAAAAGATACAACACATCAGTCGGGTCCAACAGAGTAAATGTGTTGTAGCTTTTCCAAATAGACTTGTACATAGATGTACTTTTTGTGTCTCAAAAATCTTCATTGTTTTAAAAAAATACAACTTTTTGTTGTCATGAAAGATGAAAAAATGGTGCTTTTGAATGTTAAAGGGACTTGTAAGGGATTTCTTGATAATTTCATTAAAAGACATTTTGAATGTTGCCAACAAAATAGGTATTCTTGGCCTCCTAGACCCTCAGAGTCAAAATCAGGTATGAAGGACCAAAATTTTTAGGGGGTTTTGTTGGTATGCTCCATAGGAGCTGTCCAGGGTCCTGATTTGCTATCAAATATGTCTCTCATCCAAGCTGACTTGGACGCTGAGCACCTGGCTGGAAGATTGCACTTGCACAGCCCATCCCACCTGCTGATTGGCTGGTACATCATGTTACACCAATGTGAGAATGCTGCGCATGTGTAGAATGGGTGACAAGTTACAACCATGGGGCATGCCCTGAACCAAATCAATGAAAAAAATGATGTAAAACAACTACTTGCGGTCATCCTAGATCTATACGTTTTGACTTCTGACATGATACTAGTCCCAATCTGGAAGGATGCTTGGAAATTCTGGGGTAAGATTGAATGAGAGGACGTGATCAAAGCTGATCAAGGATGTCAAGGGGTGTGCAGGCTATATTTGTTGTGGTAAAAGATGCATTATTGGTCAAGTACATCACGTAGTTATCTGGATTAGAAGGTTAAGGAGGTAGTGTAGGATTCAAGGTATTTCATTTCAAAGTAGTGGTATGGTTTCAGGATTTGGTAGCTGGTCGAGTACAATTAGAAATCCCAAAGAAGGCAGTTCTTCTAATTCACATTCAGAGTCACGTTTAAAACATTTCCTAATTCGTAGCTTTTTATATTACACTGTTTTGTGTGCGTGTTTTGTATTCCTCTTTGGGATTAGTTGTTAAAAACTTTTGTAGCCAGGTTTTCCCTCTTATACCCTGTCTCTCTCGAGCTCTGGTTTCCTCCCTCACCGTGTGGAAACTGAAGCTCGAGAGTAAGTCTTTTTCTCTTACTACTAATGTGTGTGTCTTACTCTGGCGCGTTACTCATTCTCTACGATAGTCTTCCTACCACTTTCTTTTCATCCTGCTATTCGCAGGTGAGGCGTCGAACCTTCCGCCCTTCTTTCCTACCTTACGAGTTCACATAGAACTCAAACTACCTGTTCTGTCCAGGTGATTACTCATTTCTCTTGTCTATCTTAAACTAGTCTTTTTCTTTCTTTATTTTTGCTTGATGTGTGTGAATGAATTACGACCGTGTGGAAACTGAAGCTCGAGATCTTCCTACCACTTTCTTTTCATCCTGCTATTCGCAGGTGAGGCGTCGAACCTTCCGCCCTTCTTTCCTACCTTACGAGTTCACATAGAACTCAAACTACCTGTTCTGTCCAGGTGAGGCGTCGAACCTTCCGCCCTTCTTTCCTACCTTACGAGTTCACATAGAACTCAAACTACCTGTTCTGTCCAGGTACATCCCATCTTTGGCGTAGACATTCAGTCCGCCTGAACTCGTTTCATGGTAGCGAGAGTTTAAGATCCGACACCGAACTCAGTCAACCTTTGCTTGAAATCGCAATTGCATGTCATCGCCCGATCCTAGCCTTACTGATTCAGAAGACACCGATACCTACTCAGATTCAGTCTCAGAAGCAGCCTCCGATTCACGTACCGAGAAACCTGAAGAGCAATCAAAATCTCAGATCACCGTCCCACCTATGGCTGATAAAGAGGAGTCCAAAGTCTTTGGAACTCCTTTGCAGCAGTTTGTGCAGAAGCTCAACTCGGCCATCGCCAAGTACGACGTGGATACTAAACTTACCGACGGTAATTTTCCCCAGTGGTCACTTGAAATTCGACAGGTCCTAAAGGTTCTCGATTACGACAAGTACCTTATCAAGAATGATTACAAGTACCCTGGATTATCTGACGATCAACATCTCAAGGTGAAACTGGTTGTTTCGATTTGGATGATGGGTCTTATGGACCCGCCTAACAAGATTCGATGCCAGACTATGCTGAAACTCCGAGCCTGCAAGGACGACGATGACGATGATGAAATCAACAATGATGACTCCGACGAAGACGACGACATCGCGTATGAACCGGCCATGATTTGGACTCACCTTAAGAATCATCATCAAAAGATCTCTGAGGCAGGTTTACAAACCATTGAAGATGCCATCAATGATATGAAAATTCTACCCGGAGACTCTTTCAAGGTTCACTGCGACAAGTTCAACAATCTCATAGCTGATTATGTCAAGTACAGGGGTAAAATCTCTTCTTCCAGAGCTGCTCGAAAGCTTATCAAAACCGTGAAAACAAGAATCAACGATAACGTATCTGAGAACATCTATGCCCACGTCTCGCCTTTGACTCGTGAGGGAGTTGTACAATATCTCATCGACTACGAGGCTCGTAACGGAGGTTTCTCCACACCCGCTCTCATAGAGGCCAGTCAAGCTAGTTTTTCTACCGCGGCTGCGTACTCAGGGGGTGGAAATCATCGCGATCGACGCAACAGGCCTAAGTGTTCCGAGAACAACTGCATCTCCACAACTCACTCTGCCGACAAATGCTTTGCAAAACCTCAAAACAAAGCTGCTCGTGACAAATGGATCGCTCAGATGGAAGCGAAGAGAAATGGAACCCAAAATTACAGATCTCAACCCTCTGCCCAATCCTCGAATGTCTCTGGTCTTCGTCAACTTACTCTGCCAACTGCCAACGTTTCGATTGCTTCGGACAATCCTTTTGCTTCTCTTCATGTATATCTAGATGAAACCAATCTTGACAGCATTACTGCA